ATCTGATTATTTAGTATGCTAGCGTATTAATCAATAATAATGACATATAGATTCTCAAATTCCCTACTCCTTAAGTAATAATATTTCGATAACAACCAAACGACCCAAATCGAGATCGAAATGGCATTTTGGAATTCGTTCACAAAATCCGCCATTAGAAGTAATGTTGGAAATCTATCGTGGCCTTAAAAACATTGGAATGGTATATACGTTAACACATGATTATTTAATATCTGTTTATCTGTTATAAATAAATAGTCTAACAAATGCTCATATAATTTTATAGGAATGGAAGACCATTGATCCTTTTCACGTTCGGAGTCGTTATATTTATCCGTCTGGATTACAAGTACGCATAAGTTATTTATTATTTATATGATTATTATGTCCGGAGGATGATCAATAGTCTCACGTGAAAAAGTCTGCCCGTCGCTTCCGTGCGATTGGTCATGTACATAAGCTCCGGACACAATTCTATGCATTACCTGGTTTATAATATTTTATCTAAAAAAAAAAAAACAAAAAACTATTTACTATAGGTTAAAATTGATTTGCAGCTTTATAGACTTGACATCAATAATTATCTTGTTGATTTCAAAAATGTTGGCTATGAATTACCTTCTGTGGCTGAATCTATGTCATCTACTTCTTCACCATCATCATTTGAATCACAAGTAGAATCATTTATGTTATCAAATCAACAAGACAGTACATCCTCATCGACTATTAATGATAGACAAGGAGAAGCACCAATGTCATCAAATATATTACAAGTTGATGGAAAAGAAGTTACTTCTGTGTATCCATTTTTTGACGTTTGCACAAAGTTAATAACAGAACTTGCAATATCAGCGTAAGAGAGATTATTACGCAATCAGTAAGCTTATTAAAATAATTTTGTAATAAAAAATATCCTGATCCGTTGGGTATTAGCGGAAACTTCGTTTCCACTCGTACACATACGGATCAGAGTATTTGTGCTAAATACACCTGATCTTGATAAGTGATCGGGGTATTTTTTGTAAAAATTAAATGGTTAGTTTTGTATTTTTTGTATTTGTCTTTTTTTTGTATTCTATTTTGTAAAATAGCAATTACAGCATGTGATTAAATTATCATTGTATTTTACAAATCGAATTGAAAAATTAATTCATAAACTTGTTTATTAATAAATTTGATCAATCTATTTTGTGATAGCTTTAACGTA